CTGCTCACTGGTCTGTGTTCACAATGGCTATGGCACTGGGTGTGCAACTGCTGGAAGCCTTCATCTACTGTCCTAAAATCAGAGCGCCACTTTCCTTACAGTACTGCGAATCGCAAGAAATCCAGTATATATATGGATGTCAGTTGGCATAGTTCCGGAGTTCTCACCACACACTCTACCTCTTCCCTACACAAGCTCAGCATCACTTCCTCCCGTTTAGAGTAGCAAGGTTTTGTTCATGTGATGAAGACATGGAGATCAGTTGAGTTGGTGACAAGTAGCCTCAGAGTTCTCTGCAGGTATGTGCAAGCATTCACACTTGCCTCTATCCCAAGCTGAAGCCACAAAGGGACAGAAATGCATGTCACAGCCCCTGCAGCTCATCCAGTCATTCTATGAAGCTTCGATGGGGTCACCTATCCTCATCAAATCACATTAAACAACCATACACTTTCTTTCACACACACAACTTTCACTTATAATTTAAGAACAGGACATTTCTTTAAAAGACCAGTCATTCTACACAACAAATCACTACTTTACAGCTAATGATGGTTGCCTCCAAAGCAAGGACTAAGTTGCCGTTATGCTAGCAATAGCAACTGCAAATCCAGACCAGTGTGAAGGAATTCTTACGTGTATCTCCAGTCTCCTTGAACAATTAACTTGGTTCTGGTGGTAAAGAAAAGCAAAGAGAGCCTGACTCAATGCCCAATGTCCACTGAAGGAAAGAAAATGTTAAAGGGAAGAAACAGGTTCAATAGCACACCTGTAGAACAAACAGTACCCTGCCTTGGAGGTTAAAACAGAGATTTTTTTTTTCACTCTCTTAGTAGAGTACAAAATCGATCCAGAGGTTTTAATGAAGTACAGTTAAAATTTAAACTCTACTTCCATCGTTACTCTATAAAAATAAATTCCTGTACATCTTGAAACTCCCGGTACCTGAAAACCACACACACAAAATAAGCACATACACAGGTACGTGCTAATTTCTAAAACAAGTCATAATTTAACAGAACAAAGTGACAGCGAAAGGCTACAAAAATGCCTTGCCTTTCAAGACGCATACAATCCACTGCTGCGCCCTGGCGGCTAAAGGAAAAATAACACAAGCCATAGGTTTCAAGAATTCGAAGTTTTAGCTTACTGTGAAGTTCTTTGCTAAACGGGGAGTGGGGAGAAGGCTCATCACAACCAGATAACAACTCATCTTCCCAGAACATGTAGTTTGAGAAAGATGCTGGAAGCCAGAGAAGATTCTAGAAAGAAAAACTGAAACTGCAGCTCAGTGGAACCATGCTTACTTAGCCTGCTTAAGGCCCCTAGTACTAGTTTCTAGATAGATAGGAACATTTAAAGTGGATTCCACGAAGCCCCCTGAGCTTACTCCCTAACTCTTTGTCAGTAGAAACCCTAAAACACATGTCAACCAGATGTCAATCCCACAAGAAATCGTGTAACTGCTGACTCCATCAGTTGCAAAATATTCGGCAAGAGTAAAAACTTTCTGAATACATAGTGACCAAAAATAACAGTAATTGGAGGTGCTCATATCTACTGCATTACATTACTTCCCTGAAGTTTTATCTTAAACACTTATACACGTGTGCACTTCATCAAGTGTGCTACCATGCCGTCCCATGTATTGGCTCAGTCAACTGTTGTTTTTTTTACTGTATATACAAATTTTTCTGTTCTTATAGAAATGCAATGACTTAATTAGGAAAAACAGAGACCCAATATTTTCCTGTTATTTTTCAGTAAGGATTAAATTGCTTTATCTTTGGACTGTATTGCTTCCAATGAGTGTTTTTAAAATTGAATTGCTGACTCATTTCATAAAGAAACCATTAGACAATGCATTTTCCTTATGGCCAAGGATGTTGAACATTTTAAAAATATTTTCAATCATTTGGATGCTGTCTTTTGAAAACTCACCTAGTTCCATATCCTATTTTTAATAAGGTTTTTGTGACCTTTCTTTGTAGTCTAGATACTAACCGTCAAATGTATAACTAGAGCCTTTTCCCGTTCTGTAAGCTGCCCCTTGTTGCACTCAAGCTTTAGTCATTGGTCATAATGTTTGCATTGTTGGGGTCCCATTAAAAAGTCCTTTCCTTTGCCAATGAGTCCAAATGTATTCCCTAGAGTGTCAAATCTTAAGCCCTTTAGCTTTGTGCGCTTGTTGGCCTTAATGTCTATGCTGTCGAGGGTCCTGTTCAGAAAAATCCTTTCCTGTGCCAATGAATTCTAATGTATTCTCTAGGGCATTGGGTCTTACATTGAAGTTCTTGATACATCTGGAGTTGCATTTTGTGCAGGGTGAGAGACAAGATCATTTGTTTTTCTATGTGTAACTATCCGGTTTGACCTTCATTCATCAAGAGGCTCTTTTCTCCAACGTGTATTATAGTCTAAATGCATTGCATGCTAAATGAACTTTGTATTAAACTGACTCCTAATGCTACACCATCACACCCACAGATTAATGCCTCAACTCACATCAGACAAGCTTCTATTTGTGGTAGACGGTAATTAACAGAGAACACAAGTAGTCAAGGTACAGAGAACAAGAGAATGCAGAATGCTCTCTCAACATATATATATATTTACTATACCACTTCACTGTCAACTTTTGTCGACCGAAGATCTGTCTGTGAGACCTGGGATTTGAGGACCTGAAAGGATGGGGTGGGCTAGTCTAATGCTGTAGACAACTTTACTTCAGTCTCAATGCACTTTTATACATTAGTGAATAAAATTACTCTTTCCCAGAACTTTCTCGGGACAAATTTAAACACAATTGCCAGGCTTGTACTACAGATTATATCTGACGTAGTATAAAAGGGAAACCATACCCAGATTCAGGGTACACTGACCAGATTGGGTTCTATAGCTATGTTCTGACATCCAAGAATAAACATCTTATAAAATGAATGCAAGTATTTGCCACAAAGGGCATGAAATCTCATCCAGAACAATCCAGGAGACAAAATGTACTTGAGGTTAAAAGGCTCTCTTTTTTCCTGGATCCTCTCTTGGTGTGGAAGGTCGTTTTGTCTATGTGTTGCTCTTATTGATTAATGAATAAAGAACTGGCTTGGCCTGTAACATGAGAAGTAGAAGGGCGGAGTCAGAGAGATGCCATGGAGCCCCCCCTCCCCCCGAGATAGATGCTAAAAACTTTATCCGGTAAGTCACAGCCACGTGGAGATATACAGATTAATAAAAATGGGTTAAATTAATATAACAGTTAGCCAATAAGAAGCTAGAGCTAATGGGCCACGCGGTGATTTAATTAAGTTTCTGTATGATTACTTTGGGTCTAAGCTAGCAAGGCGGAAAACCAACAACCAGTCCTCCCCCAACACTCTCACAGCTCCCCAAGACACTGTTTGCATCATTCCTTTGACCACATTCCAACACCTTCCTTCCAAGGCTTGAGGACTGTTTTTGAAATGGGGGCAGAAAGTGTAGAGGCAGTGAAAACTACAAAGAAACCATGTTTTCTGGAAGCAGCAGGGCAGTATGAGTTACAAACTCACAGCAGTTATGACAGCATGCAAGCAGAACAAATCCCAACATGGAGAGGAGGGCAATAACCCCACTCCTAGAGGTACTATTTGCTACTGGAAGAGGAAGAGTCCATGTTATTAAAAGTGTAGCCCCTGGTAAATCGCATACACTACAGTGAAAAGAGACACATCCAAGACTACACAGGCAGCACAACTGGATTTGATGGATTTTGTTTTTGAAAAGAGACACAAAGTTAGGTAAGAGGGCTAAATCTGGGTGAGTTGGAGAGAGGTAAACTTAATCAAAATGTGTGCAAATTTCTAATAAAAAATTTCTTTTAGTAATAGATGGTTTGGCTTGGGTTTAGGACAGAATTTCTAATAACTCCCAAATGAGTACTAAATATACTTCTAACATTTTCTATAATGTATTTATATAGAACAATAGTCTCAGCAGTAATTACAAAATCAAAATTGTCAACCCTGAAAAACACTGAAATGCATTGTGTACTGCAATATCAAATACTCAGCAAAGAGTAATTACTTGGGGGAGGGGGTTGAGACTGAGTTTCTTTGTTTAACAGTCTGGCTATTCTGGAACTTTGTAGACTAGGCTGGCCTCGAACACAGAGATCTGAGTGTCTCTGCACCCCCAATCACCCACCACCCATCCCTGAGTCCTAGGATTAAAGGTATGTGTCCAGTTCAAGAAATAATTTATCTCTTTAGTATACAACAAACTTTCTTTTACCTTTAGTAAGTGGTAAAACTATGTATACCAAATGATTATTTTAAGATAAATTTATGATTTACTATCAGCAAAAACCTGTATAGTGATTTTATATACCTATATACACAGGGTTGCATAAAATTTGAGTAAAGAATTGGTGCTGGAGCCAGGGGTGGGGTAATATACCTTTAATCTCAGTTTTCAGGTGGCCAAGAGAGGATATTTGTGAGTTCAAGGCCAGCCTGGCCCACATAGAAAGTTACAGGACAGTCAGCATGACACAGAGACCTTGTCTCAAAACAAACAAAAAAATAGGTGAAGAGGTAGTTTTAAAAGCCGTTTTGAAATCAGAACAGATCTGTGCACTGGAGAGAGGGGGGATATAAATGTATCTGCCTATATCATCTTTTATTACAGACAGATGTTCCCAATTTCTCACATTCAGTTAGTTGCTGCAGGAACTCCTTCAGCCAGCAGCCCTTAAAATACCAGTCCACTTGGGCGTGGCCACTTATACTATAAAGCACGCACTTGTTCTCTTTCCCAGCTGCTGGATTCAGTTTCTGTTTCCCATTCGTGCAGAGGACTGTGATCTGTGAGTCTACCCCTAAATAAATAATCCTCTATTATACTCAAGTCTGAGCTAGCGTGGGATCATTTTTTAACATCCATCTTCATTCAGTTTTAAAGGAAATGCATCTAAGTTGTATGTGTGTGCATGCACAGAGACTAGAAAGAATCATGCACGCTTATTTTCAAACAAAAGTTATCATACATTTATTAAGATATTGTTGCTAATTTTAAGCATGGATTCCACAATTTATTATCCATATATTGTCACACACACTGGGAAATTTCTGGGAAGATGTACTGATATGGGTTCAACTGGATCTGGAAAATAAAAAAATTAGAAAAAATAGAAATTATACAGATGATTTATAACTGCTCATCAAAAGCAATGTGTACTATCGTTACATTTTTGAGAGGCAAGATAGTTATAATGCATTCTTTGGTTACACTGCTCAAAATTCTATCCTTTTCTCTAATTAAATCTTATCTGTAGCTTCTTCAACATTCATAAAATTCTAAGAAAGCCACAGTCAACTATGGAAAAAGACAAATCGCAAATCTCAGTGTCAGGACCACCCCCATGCCAAGTCCAAGATGTAGCCATATAGGAAACATACTTTTTTAAATACTGGCCAGCAAAAATCTCTTTATGCAATAGGCCAAGCCACTTAATAATAGCCCATGTCAAAGAATTTTAAAGCTCACACAAACTGTAACTGTTCATTCTTCTCTGAGAGGCTTATTCTGTTTTGTAGGTTACATGCTAGTAGCTACAGTTTTGATGACAATTACTGAATGCACTATTAGAAACGTGACCTCAGAAGAGGAGGCAGACCACTTTGATTGGGATTAGTAAATTCCAAGGAAGGTTCAGGTCATTTGACCAGCTCCTGATCTATTTGCACCCAACTCCCATAAACTGAGGATATAGAGCTGACCTAGGAGCAGAGAAACAGAGTTCAGTCAGCATGGTACCTCTACCAAATGACATCAGTTGGTATTATTAATTTTAAAAGAGAATTTTCTTACTTCAAAAAAAAATCTTTAGAAATCTGAGTAATGGTGCAACCTGAAAAAGAAAAGATAACTTTTTAATTACCACAGAACAGTTCAATCTGATCATGGGGAAGCACTCAGGTAAATGGGACAGGGGAGAATTCCAGTCATGCTCAACAAGCAGATGTGCTTAGATACCTACATACACAACTGCTACAATGGCTCCAGAGGATTGACAAGAAACCTCATCAGTCACACTAAATCAAAGTGTTGTCACTAGCACAGTCAGGACAGTTTCATTCTAAATGTGAAAAACAAGATGGCTTCTGGGGCTTAAAGAGCTGTTAGTTCTAAAAAACCAAAATAGCTCTCAAAGAGCTACTCTTTTTAGTAAAGTCTGTACTTGATCCGAAACTAATCTGAAATGAGACTGACAAAATTACCCTAGTACATATATATATGTGTGTATATATATACATATATATACATATACATATATATACATATACATATATATACATATATAAAAATTTCCCTTTCAAAGGAGTAGCAGTTAACCCATAGTCTACTATATACTCATTTTATTACTATCTTAAAAAGCAATTTTCATTCCTATTTTCCTTCAGCCTGCAGCATTCCCTGGAGCATGCACACATTAACACTGGGTTCTGTGCAGCACACAACCAACACAAGGAAAAGGACTGTCATGTCAGAGCACTCTCCCAGAAGATCCACCTGCCAACCTGTACCTTTTAGCAATGATGCAAATAAACTTTGCTTGTGACTATTTTAAAGACAAGTTGGGTAAAAAAAGAAACCTGAATAGATAACATAACTTTTTCTATTTTTGTGGCTCACACCCTTTTTTAATAGCTTCATTTTTCAAAAGCAGTTATTATTTACCTGACTTTTAAACATAAATAATACCTACCTATACAACAGGGCCTTGCCTCGCTCATTCCCCAAGGCAAAGTATCCACCTCTGGGAGAAAAATCCATGGTTTGAACACGAGAAATAGTACTCTTTTTAAAAACCGGAAAGTTAGAAAATACTGTACAGGAAGGAAGATGAACCTGCAGGAGAGTATAAAAATCCTTAAATTACAAAAACTAGGAACTACCTTTCTTAAATTTTTCATTTCATTCTGATATAAAACACTTTGACTGTGCCATACTTGGAAGCACTGTTCCATAAATGCAACCAAGTAGTCCATAACTAGATCTGTGTGAGCAGTGTGCATGGAGGTCAGATAATAACCTGGGGTGTCAGTGTCAGTCACTGCCTTGTACCTTCTTGGAGAATCTCTTACCCACAGATTCTCCTGCATCCACTTCCCATCTCACACTTAAGAGTCTGGAATGAGCTGGGGTTGGGGAGTGGCTGTTGAATTCAGATCTTCACACTTGAATGGCAAAGACTTTATTCACCAACTCTCTAACTTTGTTCCTTGAAAAGATTTTACCCACTGAGTCGTCTAATTTTGTTTCAGTTTTTCATCATTGGGAAATTTTGGGTTTTTTTTTTCATTTTTTTTGTTTTGTTTTAAATTTAACAGTACACTACATTTTTCTGTTTTATATGGTCACTGGTAATCTATCAGTAGCCTTTAATACATTTTAAGTATATTTTTACATTTTTCATTTAGGTACAAATAAGTTTCTCCTCTCTCAGTGGTACTACATAGATTTTAAGTCCTCAAGAATAGGCTATTAAATAAAATCCCTAAATAAAACAAGAGGAGACACCCAAATAGCAACACAAAAGTATGAACATGCAAAAGGACAGAGGTGTGACTTATGCTGAAAGACTGACAACTCCTCCAGTATTCTTGAACTCAAGATACCAAAACAGGTAAGATGTTTGGAAAAAAATTCAGAAGCTTACTAAGTAAAAGATGATGAGAGAGCCAGCCAGGTATGATAGAGCATGCCTGTTAGGGTAAAAGGGCCAGTCAGATAAACACATCCTTGGTGTAGGAGGTCCTTCTGTTTATGTGTTGCTTTCAATTGTTAATTAATAAAGAAACTGCTTTGGCCTGATAGGGCAGAACTTAGGTAGGCGGAGAAGACAGAACTGAATTCTGGGAGGAAGAAAGCAGGTTCAGAGAGAGCTGCCATGGAGCTGCCAGGTCAGACATGCTGAATCTTTCCCGATAAGCCACAGTGATATACAGATTAATAGAAATGGGTTAAATCAAGATGTGAGAGTTAGCCAATAAGAGGCTAGAGCTAATGGGCCAGGCAGTAATTTAATTAACACAGTTTCTGTGTGGTTATTTCGGGTATAAGCTAGCCGGACAGCCGGGAAGGAACGAAGGGCCCTCCTTCTGTAACACATCCTGACCCAGAAACCAGAGTCAGTAGTGGAAAAAAAAAAAAAAAAAAAAAAACCACTTTGGCCCTCAAACCAGAGCCAAAGAAACACTTCCTGCCCCTGACCAACTGAGCATGAAACCACCTAATCCCCAAGCACGAAACCCAGCTTGTTCAAGCTCAGGGATTGAAATCTGACCAATTCCCACCCTGAACTCCACATCTAAGAAGTCCTATACAATATAAGCCCTGTGCTTATTCAGTTGGCAGCTGCCCTTTTCCACCCTGACAGAGAGGCAGCCACTCCCCTAGATTCCTTCCTCCCTCTCAATAAATCCCTTGAAACAGTTTGGGTGAAGAACTTCTTTCACCAGAGCAAAGAAGAATCATTTATGCCTAATATCTGGCTTTACTCTGGGCACCTAGAATTTAGCAAATGCTAGGCAGAGGATGTCCACATGAACCATCAACCAAACCTCTGGGTACTGAGTCTCTAATGAGTCTTTTTTTTTTTTCAGTTTGCATCTAGTCCAAGGTTTATTCAACAGTCCTCTCACTCTACACAAGTACAAACGACCTTATCTAAAATACTACAAAGTCATAAAACTCAAAACAAAATTTACAGTACTGACTGTACAATAAAAGCAAAAAGAGGCAATGTATACACTGCCAAGGTTAACCTGCAACATCCCCGTGAATGGCAGGTGACAATGAGTGTGGTGGCAGGTTCCTTGAGGACCCTGTAGAACTGGCTCACCAATTTCAGAGAATAACAGAGACCTGGGGGCAGGGAAAGATAAAGGTGTTTAACCCTAGAAGTTGACGAGGACTCCAAAGGGGACATGGTCAGGCCTAACAGCACAGCAGCTTGGTCCCCTTTCCGCAGATGTGGTACAGCAACAGCAAGGGTACGGCCATGTTGCCCAGGTCCTAGGCCATCTGTGGAAAATGGTGTGTTGCAATATGGAGGCTTGCTCGTCCCACCTGGCTCTGCTATAAACTAGACTCTCAAGAACGGGAAGGGTGAACTTTCTAGCCAGAAAACTACAGGGCACCTTTATGGGCACAGTCCTGAATCAACAGTACCTCTGCAGCCAGAATCCTGCAGAGGAAATATCTCAACTGCTGTCTTCAAAGCCCACCCCGTTAAGGGATCCTTCCACACAGACCCTCGTTGGCTAAAGAAAGGACAAAACTGAGTTGGGGGAACATAAGTTACAGAGGTACGAACATAAGTTACAGAGGTACGAATCAACGTCCCTGTTTATTGGGAGGAGTTAGAGCTGGAGCAGCTTCTATGGCGGCGGCGGCCGGGAGATCGAGACCTCCTACGCACAGGGGACCTGCGCCTTGGAGAGCGAGACCTCCTCCTCATCCTTGGGGGTGACCTGCGCCACATGGGGGGCGGTGGAAGCATTCTCCTGGGTGGGCTGAATCGCCGTGGGGGTGGCCGAGGCCAGGGTGCCAACACAGCAGTAGCAGTGATCTCTTGGCCATCAATTTGTCCTCCATCCATGTGTTTCAGCGCCTTCTCCGCTTCATCTGGATTCTCAAACTCTACATATGCGTAGCCTTTGGATAGATGAGGATGCATCCTTTCTACAGGCATGTCAATCATTTTAATTTTCCCATAAGTAGAAAATATTTCCATGATATGATCCTTGGTCACATTCCTGGTGAGCCTCCCAATGTGCACTTTGGTGGGCTTAGGTGAAGGGCTCCGCCTTTTCCTCTCTTTTTCATCTCTTTTAGGTGGTTTGGATTTGGAGCGGGATCGCCGCCTGTTGTCATGCCTGCGCCGGGAAGGGCTGGGGGAGCCGGAGGAGCTGCTAGAGCTGGAGCTCCGGGATGTGCTGGAGCTCCCAGAGCGGCTGGACGCAGAGGAGGAGCTAGAGCCACTGCTTGAACCTGTGCTGGTGCTGGAGCCCGAGCTGGAAGTTGAGCTGGATCGAGACCTGGTGCTGCTGCTTCCACTTGAAGCACTGCGTCTCTTCCGAGTCTTATCCCTGCCACGATCCTTCTCACTCGACTCTTTAGTGGCCCCTTTATCTTTAGAGCGATCCTTGGACTTCTCGTCAGAGCGGTCCTTGCATTTGGTAGGAGAAGGAGCCATCTTCCCGAGGCCGCCACCTCCTCCTGCTCTTCTCAGACCCGGAGGTCGGCCTCTAATGAGTCTTATAAGTAGGAAATACTTGGTGTGCAGTCACAACTGCACTGCTGGAGGTATTACATGTATCCTGTACAACTCTATACTGGGAAGGAACTCGCAGGCCGCTCCATGCTTTACCTGTGTAGCTCTTCCCTTTGCTGATTCTGCTTAGTAACCTATGGCTGTAATAAATCTTAGCCATAATAAAGACATGTACTGGATACTGTGTCTTTCCATTAAATCATCAAACCTGAGGGTGGCCTAAGGCATTCTTGACACAGGTATTCATAATCCCTGTCTAGCTATCCGAACTGTAGCACTTTATGTCAACTCAACTTACTTTCAAAATCTAAGAACTGCCTCCACTCCACTGTAGCTACAGGCTTTTAGAAAATAATAAAAGGAACTATAGATAAATGAAGTGTTTTCCTTAAATATGCTCCTTAATCTATGTGCTAGACAAAATCTCTGAAAATGAGGACCATATCTTAAGAAATGTTAATGACAGACAGCTCAGAATTTCCAATAAAACAGATACTATGAAAATCTGGAAGGCTACTGTACAATAATGAAACAACCAAACCCAAAAGCTCCCAACTATTAATTCCTACAAAACAGAACTGAAATGACTTAACTTTTTAGCATTTTGTTGTTGTTGTTTTTGGCTTTTTAAGACAAGGTTTTCATGCATACCAGCTTTCAATTCGCGATGTAGCCAAGTATGACCTTGATTATAGGCATGTGTCACCACCCCGGATTTGTTTTGGTGCTGGGGATTGAACTCAGGGCCTAGTGTATTATGGGCAAGTACTCTACCAACTAAGCCCCACCTCCAGTCCAGAAATCACTCTTTAAAATAATCCAATACCACTTTCCTGTCATCATTCACTGTTTCAACATGAAATTTTAAATCATCAAGACAATGGGGAGGGGGTAAAAAGAGTTATTACCAATCTGATAGCTTCTTTCATTTTTCTTGAAGCCACTGCCAAGATTTCTGTAGTGGGATTGAAGGTCAAGGAAGTGACACCAGTGACCAGGTTCATTATAGCTTTAATTGGCTTCGGGTTTGTTTGTTGGAGGCAAGAATCTTGACTGTATATGTTTACCACTCCACTCTTAGAACTGCAAAAAGAAAAAGAAATAAAACAGATTTAAAACAAAGTCTTCTCAACCTAGATGAACAAAAACTGGTATTTGTGGAAACAAACTGCAAGAAACCCAAAGAATGGAGAGTTCAAGGAAAGACAAAAGATATTCTATCAGTGCAGTCTGAAGCTCTTAACTCTGGCAGCTTTTCAATTGTAGGTCTAGCTACAAATGTGAAAAAAGCAAAGAATCTTCTTTTTACTTTCTGTTGATAAACCAAAAGTCTACTCCATGCCAGGTACTACTTGAGTGCTTGAGATGCAAGACAAACTAAGGAACTAAGACAACCACTCTCTACAGTTCTTACTGCCTGTTTTCGCTGTTTTGTAGTACTGGGGACTGAATCTAAGGCCTCACATACATATTAACCAAATGTTTCTCCAGTCCTTTTGATTTTATCTCCCTAGGATATTGTCTTACTATGTTGCCAGGCTAGCACTGAAGTATGGACTCTCCAGTTTCAGTGACCTGAGTTTCTATCTGGGATTAAAAGCCAGCACCAGCAGGTCTGGACATTGCCTAACATTCTAATATACAAAAGAAAACAGACATTGCCCACTGACAGCTGCTGCTTTTCAATAAACACCACCATTCCCTTCTGCCATTTCTAGCTCTTCTTTCTTTATTCTTCAAATGTATTTGTGGGAACTAAAAAACTAGAGAACAAAGGCTTTAGTAAAATCAGACACCTTAATTTGGCTTTCCTGGGAATATTCATTAGCTCATAGTCAAAGTTTAAGGTTATCTACTTAGAGTTTATATTAATGTTTACCAACAAAGAATTATTTACACTTCTCTTAAAAGGTAAATTTTAAGGGCCTACCATTAGTCTATCACTAACAGAATCATTGATAGATGAGTACTTTAAGTTAGCATGGTGGTTCATGCCTATGATTCTAGCAATCAAAAGGCTCAGACAGAAAAGCTATCATGAACTCAAGGCCCCCCTGTGCTACTTAATTTTTTGGGGGAGGGAAGAAGATTTCAAGACAGGGTTTCTCTGTGTAACAACTCTGGCTGTACTAGAACTCGCATTTGTAGACCAGACTCAAACTCAGAAATATCCACCTGCCTCTGCCTCCTGACTGCTGGGATTAAAGGCATATGCCACCACCATCTGGCTGCTACTTAGTGAATTTAAGCCAGCGTAAAACACAATGTGAGCAACTGTTGAAACACAAAACAAAATAAAACATAAAACAAATGCTGTCTCAATGATCAGGTGTTCTAAGGCTATGTGCATCGAGAATAAGACACATTTATAATCTCAACACTCAAGAAGCTGACACAGGAGTCAAAGCTAGCCAAGTGTGGTGGTCTAAATAGGAATGGCCACCATAGATTCATATGTTTGAAGGCTTGGCCCACAGCAAGTGGCACTATTAGGAGATGTAGTCTTATTGGATTAGGTGTGACCTTGTTGGAAGAAGTGTTTCACTGTAGAGGTGGGCTTTGAGGTCTCCTCTGCTGAAGCTAAGCTCAGTTTGACTTACAGTTGCTTCTGCTACCTGCAGGAAAGATGTAGAACTCTCAGCTCCTTCTTCAGTACCATGCCTACCTGCACTCTGCTATGTCCCACCATGATAATAATGGACTAAGCCAATGAAACTGTAAGCTAACTCCAAAGAAATGTTTTCCTTTCTAAGAGCTGCCATGATCATGGTATCTCTTCACAGCAAAAGAAACCGTGACTAAGACACCAGAACTATTATAAGACTCCATCTTTCTCCTCCTCCATGTCCAAAAGGTAAAACAAATTAAATATGGTACAAATAATCCACCGATAACTTAAACTGGTCCTAGTGGATTCTGGCACTAACAACAAGCAATCACAAAACTGAAGTAGGTGTGGTGTTCCATGCCTATCATTCCAGCACTTGGGAGGTAGAAGCAGAGGGAACCAGACTGCACAGTTAGTCATCTCAGCTGGCAATAGAAGTCTGAAGCTAGACTGGGATACATGAGATTCTGTCTCAAGAAAATTAAACAAAGAAACAGAACTAAAACAAAGGCAAGTGTAACAGACTAAACGTTAAAATGTCCAGAATACAACAGATAATGCCATGCCAAAACCAAGTATTTATAACCTGGATACGACAAAATATCAACTAGTACTGCTGGAAGCCTTTCTCCAGATGGGTTCAATGACGTAGGACAAATGTTTGAAGTTGGTGACAAGAAGACACCATGACCACCCGTTTGCTGAAACAACTGGCCCCTGGATACCCTGGGCTGTTAAATAAAAACAGTTTCAATGATTTGCACAGTTTTTACTTCCTAAATTTCTAAAAATGATTACAATAATTACAAGTTTGTTCCTTACTTCTTCCCCCTTCTTTCCCCCAACTTTCCCATCAGTAGCTATTACCTTTTTTATCTGTATCTCTACTTTTAGAAGCATAAGAAGTCTTGTAAGCAACAAAGGAAGTTTCCTAACTAGGCACTCCTACAGGTAGAACAGTGTGCCCAGTTGGCAGCATATTGGTTACAGCATTATGAAGGGTCAGACAGTTTTGTCTCTTGTGGTTAATATTTACATCTGGTAGGGTCTGGGTCCTACCAATCAACTCACCAAACTGGATCAACCGATTCTACATTCAGTACTACTCTATCTCCTCTGAGGATATACCAAGTTTTTCCATTTATCCTTTAGTCAACATAACTTGGCAACTTACTTTTAATAGTTGGCACTGTTCATCCCTTGTCCTTACATTCATCTAGCTTAACTTCTTATGGTATTGGTACAGTTATTAGGAATAATAATAAAACATTAGAATGATTCCGCTTCATTCCCTATTCCTAGACTGTTCCCATTAACTCCTCATATACATTTATAAATATTTCTCAAAGACTCTAGTGGTTAAAATCATTCTTTCCAAAAAGTTACGTAAATATGCAGTATTAAACTTCATAACCTGTGACCCAGTCAGGCCAGCAGTGTGAAATCAAGGAGAGCAGGTAGCACATATGTTCTTGGGATCATACCCAGAATGATGCAACAAACTGTCCACAAGTTTTTGCCAAGTGGGTCAGAGTCTTCAGGGCCTTATCACAAGGAGAGTCATTCATGCTATTCTTGGGTCTTGTTCCCCAAAGAACTCACATGGCTCCCATCATAGAACCAGTATCAAGATAAATCAGATGCTAGAAGTGTGTGACAATAATTTTAAAAAGGGCATAATGATCCAACATTTCAAAGCGCCTCTGTTGCAGTTTCCTGAGTTCTATTTCTAGAACATCTTCAAGGCTGCTGCAGCCTGAGATAAACAAGGCACAAAAATACTCCAGTCAGGACTTGACCAGAAAATGCTGTAGGATAACCCTTCTGTACACTGTGAATATATGTTACTCTCACTGGTTGATAATAAAAGCTGCTTTGGCTTATAGAAAGGTAGAACATAGCTAGGCGGGAAAGCCAAACTGAATACAGGGAAAAGGGCGGACTCAAGAGAACTGCCCAAGAAACAAGATGCCAACATTCTGGTAAAAGTCACAGCCACATGGCAATACTCAAACTAATATAAATGGGTTAATTATAATGTAGCAGCTAGTTAGTAATAAGCCTGAACTATAGGCCAAACATTCTGTAATTAATATTAAGCCTCTGAGTGATTATTTAGAAGCTGCTGCAGGAGAGGGTGAGCCAGAGAAATCAATCACAAATATAATAGTGCATGGCTGCAGTCTCAGCTACCCAGGATAGGAAGATAACATGAGCCTGAGACCAGCTTCAGCAAACAAAGAGACCCCAAAAAGTCAACTGTGGGAGCATACATCTATCCCAAATCTCAAGAACATGAGATAGGAGGCTCTCAAGCTTGAAGCCAGCCTGTATCAGACAGTAAGAACCTGTCTCTTTAAAAAAGCTAAGACACAACCAGACCCACCCTAGCTACATACGTCATACAGACCCTCAAACAAATAAACACAAACACCAAAGACTTAACTTTACCAAGTCTTCTCATACCCAGTTCTTTCAGTCACCTTTCTCTGCTGTCCCCAAGGCTGATTATTTCTAGTATCTCACATATCTTACTCCTACAGATATCAACTACCCCTTCCAAACAACCTCTGTATTCGTTATAAGCTAATCATGACTAAAGTCAACAAATCACCTGATAGAAAACTGATTAGAGGGGGCTAGAGAGATGGCTCAGAGGTTAAGCCTGCTCTTCCAAAGGTCCTGAGTTCAATTCCCAGCAATCACATGGTGGCTCACAACCATCTGTGATGAGGTCTGGTGCCCTCTTCTGACCTGCAGGCATACACACAGACAGAATATTGTATACATAATAAATAAATAAATATTTAAAAAAAAAAAGAAAACTGATTAGAGAATGGAAACAAAAGAAACTTGGTGCTGTACACCAGCAATAGCAGCACTCAGGTGGTGAAGGCAAGAGGATCAAGAATTCAAGGCCAACCTCAACTAGCAAGTCTGAGACTAACCTGGGATACCCAAGAACTTATCTCAAATCACCCTTTAATCCCAGTACATGGAAGGCAGAGGTAGGTAGATCTCTGTGAGTTCAAGGCAACCTGGTCTACAGAATGAGTTCCAGGACAGCCAGGGTTACACAGAGAAACCCTGTTTTGAAAAACCAAAACCAAAACAACAAAAATCCTTTAGATTTTTCACTTCACAAATGCCGAGATTACAGGCATATGCCATATCACGCCAGTTTCCAAAGTTATTCAGATGACAATGGAAAGTAAAAGGTCTCTCTTTACAGTATCCCTAGCTATTCTATCACAGCAAAGTTGTAAACAGAAAGCATGCTCTTTATGAAAACAAGAACTAAATTGAGTTGACAGATACTAATAGGAGTTCTGAGATCAAAGGAATCAAATGCCACAGCAGAGACCAGAGAAGATAGCAGGCAGTCATGATTCCAGCTTCTCCATGCTCTACCCTGAGTCTACAACACCACCTAGCAGGTGATATCAGGAATTATAACAAGGGTTAAATTTTTTCTTAACAGATTTAACTATAATATAGAGATGATCTCTGGTTAACACCATGAGAATTCAATTACACCGAACAGGAATAAAAATGAGTTTAAATTTCTAGTGTTAGTTTTTGGTTTTTGTTTTTTCTCTTCTCAAAACCTTCAAAGGGGACTAATAAAGAGTGAAATAGAGAGAGACAAGTACCACAAAAATCCTAACTGCTCTGACTTCACCAATTTGAAACAAGGTCATTTTTGTACACTTAACCTTGCCTGATACAGAGGAAGAGCCATACTACTTAAAACTACTTGTATCAGGCACTGTCTTAATGATCTGCTAATCAGGAGCTGTGTATTACTTTGGTAAAGCTTATCTTGTGCTGAGATGCGTCTCTCTACAGGTATGGCAAGTGCTGACAGGCAACAAAGGAAAGGCAGCCTTCATCAGGCATTCAGACTCAGAGCTGCCTGTCAGTACCCTACCACCTGAGGAACACAGTGGCTCCAGAGTCTCTAACTCAGTTCTACTGTCTTTCCAGCCCCAAACTTGCTGGGGACATTTATAAGCAGTTTCCAATGTTAATGCTGAAGTATAACACATTTCTGGACAGCTAGGCCCCTTAACTACCTACTTCTGGGAATACCTAACTGTAATTTCCTTACAGCTCAATTGTATTTAGTCTAAGGTCAAACAGAAAACATCTTGAACTAACAAAATTACAGATGCAAACAAGATCTAAGGTTAGAACAACCACTAACTGTGCAATTCCTCCTCCTTCCACCTACATATTTAAGATCAGATAGGGAAATAAAAGTCACTGTTTCCCAAATATAAGCCATTTTTCTACTAATAGCCCAATAACATGTTTTGTGAGCTATTAAGTGTCTACTGTGACAGTCTAAGTAAGAATGACCCACACACACACAGGTTAATATATTTGAATGCTTAGTCATAAAGGAGTGCACTACTTGAAAAGGATTAGAAGGTGTTGCCTTGTTGGAGTACTTGTGGCCTTCTTGGAGGAAGTGGATCACTGGGGGTGGCCTTTTTGACTTCAAAAGCCCAAGCCTGGTCCAATGTGTCTACCTTCCTGCTGTTGCCTGTGGATCCAGATGTAGAACTCTCAGCTATTACTCCAGTACCATGTTTGGCTGCATGCCACCATGATAATGGACTAAATTTCTGAAACTATAAGCAAGCCCCAATTTTATGCTTTCTTTTTATGAGTTACTATGGTCAGGTCATAGTTTATGAGTTGCTATGGTCATGGTCTCTACACAGCAAAAGAATGGTGGCTAAAACACCTACCATACTAACAAATGATATTTCCAAGTAATATGCTTTTGACTTATACACCTAGCTACAGGACTTAAGAGATTTAAGTCTAAAGTTGAATTATTGTATCTCTTCATCAATGGCAAGAAGCTAAATACACTAAGATAGATACCTGACCATGGTCTAATGAGTATTCTAAATGCAGGAAAATATAGAATGATTTAAGGTAGTCTAGTTTCTTCTTTGCTAAAAAGCTGACAAACTACCATTATTAATAATTAATGATGCATCAAAACAACTTTACAAATCAAAACGCTCAGGTGGGTTTACTGATTTCATATTTCTAAGATGTCAGTAAAGCCATGTACCATCTAGAGTATTTAACTGCTAAACATTACCTCACAAGCACAATGAGATTCTCCTCACTCACCCACAAGCCACGTACTGCCCATTCTTTGACACAGCAATGCTTAATCCACATAAACTGCCTTCATCGAGGAATCTGTTAATGCACTTCCTTGAATTCACATCCCACACATAAACTTCTCCATTCTCTGAAAGTAAAAGTCAAAGAAGGATTCGGCTAATCTTCCTTTAAAAAGCAAGCAGACTTAGTACTTTTAGTCACTCGTTAATAGCACAAGGAACCCTATTTACAGAAAACTAAAAGCATTTCAAATATATACAAAAGTTCATCAGTCATTCAAAAAGAACTGTACCCTTAGGTTTAAAGTAAAAAAAGAAAAAAAAAATCACACATTTGAGTTGAACTTTAAGTAAAAGATGCTATATTTCACTAAAATAAATTACTGGAGCAAATACATGAAAAGGAAAAAGATATCAACAAGCATTAGGGTGCCCAGTATATAAGGCTAGACAATGTAAATAAGCCAACTTTTAATGACGATGGTGGAGAGTAAATGATCTGATGCACACCACAAACAGTTCATAATTTAACTAAGAAGTTATATACAGTTTGTTTCAAGACATTTACAAATTATGGATATTAAGGTAAGCAATAAGCACATATTAAGGCAAGATAAAAAAGATATCACATATAGAGACCACAAATATTTCCAAGATGCAAATGGCCATCTAATTTCCAAAACTGATCCAATTCTTTTTCTTGTTCCTACAGCATCTTCTATAATATTATCTCATTCACCTCAACGATGGCTCCTCACTCCCTCTCATCCTCTCCTTTTCTGTAGATACTGTTCCAAAGTTTGCCCTTCTTCAAATAACCTTATGCTCCCAAAGAGAATTCTGCAAAACTCTTAACTATCTCCTTGAAAACTGTCCCACACTGGAGTAAGGGCAATTGGAGCAAACATGTTAACACTGCATATCAGACTGTTAACCCTTCGCTGTTATTAGTTCTTAATTGGCCTGGCAAATGACAGAAAATAAGTATTAAATATAATCCATACATCTGATTTTCTTACTAAAACAGTAAGGAAAAAACAAAGCAGGTTTTGGTATTTTTTTAAAATAAAATTTGAAACATAAATACATCCAAACTTACCAGAAGACGTATATATCCTCTTACTATCAGAAGAGAACGTGGATGCTGCAATTCTTCCATTAATCTTCATGCTACCAATCAATTCTTTGGTCTAAGAGTAATTATTTACTAGATGTTAGAAGGCTGTTATCTATCTTTCAGGAAGTATTTGATTCTAACTTTTGTTTATTAATTTTAATCTTATGTGTATAGTTCTTTTGTCTGCATAGATGTCTGCGCACATTTGTGCCTGTTGCCCACAGAAGCCAGAAGAGGGCAACGAATGCTCTGGAATTAGAGTTACAGATGGTTGTAAACCAACATGTGAGTGCTGGGAACAGAACCCAGGACCTCTGGAAGAGCAGCCAATGCTCTTAAACCCTGAGCCATCGCTCTATCCCTGACTCTACTTTTCTCATTGTCAAAAGTTTTCCCCCAACTTCCCACAACTCCCCAAATATCCTAGTGCAAGCCTTTGATCCTATTACTCTGGAGGCACAGATAAGTGGAAAACAACAAAACGAAAAGAACACGCTGAGTTCAAGACTGTCCTTAAAATCTAACCTTAATACCCAATGGAAGAATAAGAAGCAACTAAATACTTCACCTTCATTGACAGCAAATGAGAAAACCCAGCAATGCCACTTATGAGCAGGAAGGATCCATCTTGAGAGACTTCAAATCGCTTCACTATTTTCTCTTTCAAACCTAAGAAAGAAGATGAAACAATAAATTAAATGACTTTTAAGAAGTCTACCCATATAGGCAAGACATATAAATCTGATTGCATATAACATCAAAAAGAAGCCAAACATTCATTTCAAAATGGTTGGCAAACTTTATCTTGGTTAGTTAGCATTCAACAGTTCAGCTGTGGGCCAGAGAATCAAGTCTCTAAACAGTTAACAAACCAACTCATTGCTAAATGTAAGCAGTAATACCCTAAAAGGACTACTGTAGTTTGCTATTACTCAGCTCATTAATGGGAAGGAAACCCACTGCCATTAGAGATGGCCAAACTATCTGGTTGCCACCTATGATGAATGGGAAAATAATCTTTAATTTTGTACTTTAAAAGCACAAGCTCCTTACTTTCAAGTATCTTTAAGAATTGACTAGGTCCTCATGGTGTAATTCAGAGTCTCCTAACCGATTTTAAAAAGGATATATCCTTTCACATTGATTCTACCAGAATGCTAAGAGCCAAGTTTTTCATTATAAAGTGATCTAACAGAGGGGCACATAAAGACGGTATAAATGGCTGACTAAAGGGAGGAGGTGACCAGAAGGAAAGAGCAAAACAGACTTCCCACTATCACTCATTTGTAGATACTGGGAGGAGGGAGGAGTTTCAAGTCCAGGATATCCTTTATCTCAGTAATTAGCCAAGAATGACTCTGGTATGACCCTCAAGTGCAGAAATTATAGGCATGGACCATCACACCAAGCTATATGCTGGATTTCTAGCTATACCATGCAAACATAATGCCTAGACAAAAAAGACAAAAAGAAATTGATTCAAGCAACTCAAGTTCAACTACTGATTAAAACAAAGTTTTTTTTTAATTTTTTTAATGTAGTAAAAAGCTTTTACACACAAGAAAGTGCTGGTTGAGGCTCCTTTGGACCGCTTCTAACTGATTACGTTATAAATCCTGAAAGGTTAATGGAAAATAAAATCTGAATCAATTCTGCTTTCATTTTCCAAGCAAGCATTTATGACAAGAATCTGTATACAAAAGCTTAGACATCCTAATAAGAAATTTCCCACCTTAATAAAATGTCCTAAAGTTCTTGAGTTTATTGAGTATTTTCAAAGGGCTGGGGATACAGCTCAGTGGTAAAGTGCCTGCCTGGCAGGATCAAGGTCATGGGCTAAATCCTCAGCATAGCAAATCAATTTCTCAAGTATGGTACAGTTGTTTCCTTTTGCTTTTCTCCTTCTGTCATAAAGACAGAATTCAGGCAATCAGACTTGGGCAGCAAGATGTACCTTTACCTGCTAAGCAATCTCATAGGGCCTGTTTTTCTTTCTTTTGTTTTTATTTTCAATGTGTATGAGAGTTTTGCCTACATGTATGTGTGCACCATGTGTGTGCAGTACCCTTACAAGCCAGAAAAAGAAGCTGGAACTGGGCTTTACAGATGGTTTTCAGCTGTGGATACTAGAAATTGCAACTATAGTAGCTTTCAAAATAGTTTTCTCTTTCAATGTAAGTTTGAAACTTACATTTCAACTTTTGAAATGTAAAAGTTTAGGCTTTTCAACAAAGAGCATCCACTGACCAAGAAATGCACCTGAGGCAGAAACAGATTCAGATCTACAAAATCCAAACCACAACTTAAAAAGACTCCTCCCTGTTGGGACTTCACAAAGAACCAACTTGGAAACGAAAAGTAAAGGTGTTAGGAAACAAGACAGAACTGACTAGAAACACTGAAGATAAACATAAATATCTCTAGTTTGCTCGTAGTCACTGCCACCCATTAACAGGAATACAGACACACAAAACATACAATAGCAAGAACTGCCAGTGGCCTATATGCTATGCCAACACTTTGGCCCAAGATGTATGTTAAGCCAGCCAACATCATTACAATGGCTTTGGTTTCCCAAAGAAATCATTAAAGTGTCACCTAGCATGAGCAGGACAATACAGAGAAAAAAATGAGTAAGAGGGTAGGTAAATAAATCACCTGATGAAAACAATCAACTTTGGTTTTGCCTTTAAAGTGCTTTACATAAGTACTTCTCAAAGTGTTTTGTATCAAGTATAAATCACCATTTAAAATAAACATTAGAATTAAAGTATCTGATGGCCTATCTATCAGAGAAGTCAAACAACTTATCCAAAAAAGTAGAAGCCAGGTCTTCCATATCCCAAGCTAATGTTCCTTCGACCACCTCACCTACTAACATTAAAACTAAGTATTGGGGGCGGGAGGGGGTGAAGAGATGATGACTCACCAGCTAAGGACACTGGCTGATCTTCCAAAGGACCCAGCTTCAGTTCCCAGCACCCATATGGCGGCTCATAACCATCTGTAACTCCAGTTTCAGGGAATCAGACACCCTATTCTAGCATCTGCAGCTACCAGGCTATACATGTGGTGTGCAGAAGAGAAAATGTCAATACACATAAAGAAAGGAAGGAAGGGCGGAGTTAATTTTAAATAGATAGATAGACATTTTCAATAGTAGAGAGGTTGTTCAGCAGTTAAGAGCACTTGTTCTTGCAAAGATCCAAGTTCAATCCCCAGCACCTAGTGGAGGAGCACAACCATCTGTATCACTCCAGTTCCGGGAAATCCAACATCTTCTTCTGACCTCTGCGGGCATCAGGTATGTAAAAAGTGCAAGACATATAGGCAGGCAAAACTCACATATGTATAAAACAAAAACAATCTTAAAAAACGTTTAAATAGAGTATCAGGGTCTAGGGTTTAGCCCAACAATAGCCTATAAGCAAAAAATGTTTGGCCTCCAACACACAAAAAATATAAATAACAAAGAAAGAAAAGCCAATTAACAAGGACAAATAAAGCCAAGCAATAGCATCTGTGGTCTAGAACTTATAAATTATGAACCTATTCTAAGTGCTTAATTAAAGAGTCAGTTCACTAGCTTCATTGAACTGAACTATGAATTGAAATAATTCATAGTTATTTCCTCAACATAAGACAATTGTGAAATACTATTAACTGAATAAACTCTTACTTTTAAAAATACTGTGAAGAATGTGATGGCATGCTGGTGTGTTGGTACATGCCTTAATCCCAGGACTTGGGAGGAAGAGGGTAGGTGAATCTGTGAATCTGAGGGCAACCAGGGATACACAGAGAGACCCTGTGCATGCACACATTGGGATTAAAAGTAGTAGTTATAAATACTGGTAAATTCAGGCTAAGAGAAGGGGTAAAATAAGGATGATCGATGCTGTGTTCAATAAAAATCTTACCTCTCACTTGATGTACAGGAACTAACTTTCCAGCTAGCATATCATAGACATAAAGAACCTTGCTCTGCACACTTGTGGCTAAAAGCTCTTCTCCATTAGCACTGAAACAAGCCTTAAAGATTGGAAACTTTTCCAAATAGATGCTCTGGATTTTTGGGTTTGTTTTGCCATCTACCTGTAAGAAAGTACAAATGCTTTCTTTATTTCCACAGACCCTGTATTCTGGTACTGAACACTTTCCACTACAAAACTTAATTTAGAAACTCATACCTGAAATAGTGAGATAGCATTATCTACCCCAGAGACCATCACCACCTGTGCGCCAGGATGGAACTGGACTGATGAGATCCGAGCAGTGGTAGGCCGTTCAGCATTGGCAGGACGGCAGTTCTTCATCTGTGGAAATACAAAGTTGGAATTTTATCAAGTCAACTGGGTTAGCAGCGTTTATAGTAGACAGAGGTTCTCAACTTGTTAGTCATGTCCCTTTTGGAGCAAACCACTCTTTGATGGAGTTGCATACCAGATATCCTGCATATCATATATCTACATTACCATTCATAACAGTAGCACAATTACAGTTATGAAGTATCACGAAAATAATTTTAAAGTGGGGGTCACCACAACACAAGTAACTGAATTAAGGGGCCACAGCATTAGGAAGGTTGAGATCCTGTTGTATAGAAAGAAGGAAAAAAACCATTGTTTATAACGCAGAACTGAACAGTGCCCAGGACCATGGGTCTGGCACCAGTTAGCGAGTCAACTTTACTACACAAGAATTCATCTGCACCATTTCTGAAGTGAAAGATTAAGTCACTTAGGTCCTTTAGTTAAGCTCTAAACATGAAATATCCTCCACAGACTCATGCATTGAAGACTAGATCCAAAGCAGTTAGTGGGGTGATTTTGAAAGGGGCTGGAAACTTTGGAGGAGAGGCCTAACTTCAGGGAAGGTCACTGGGGGAATGTCCCTGAGAATATGCTATTCCCTGACCTCCTGGGCACTAGGAGGTAACCAACTTAACTCCTCTATGCCTTGAACATGACAGCAGACCATGGGCTCAAGTCCTGAGAGCCAAACATGGTGATGCACATCTTTGATCCCAGCAGAAGCAAGTAGATCACTGAGTCTGAGGTCAGCCTGGTCTAGAAAGGTAACTTTAGAACAGCCAGGGCTACATGGAGCAACCCTATCTTTGGAAAAAAAAAAAGGGGGGGGGGGAACAAAGAAAAAAGTCTGAAACTGAATCAAAGTAAATCTTTCTTCTTTATAAGATGTTCTGTCAGATATTCTGTCACAGTACTCAATAGTCTGATCCACCTTTCTACAAGTGAAGTCTAAACTTACTAAGCATTGTTTGAGTAACTAGTATGCAGTAGTGTCCGAAAGATCTATTGATTTTGGTTTAGAGACTGGCACTTAAAGAGAAATTTTACTTAAAATGCCTGTTTTGATATAAGTGCAACAGGCTCTATGTTACTGTCTAGACAGTCAGTAGTCCATAATGACTACTATCTTCCCCTTACGACACAGGTGGCTAGTTTAAAATGATGGTGATCTACTACATCACTTGAACTATTCTAGCTGTTGCTTTTATTTTTATAGGTGTACACACACACACACACACACACACACACACACACTAAAACTTCAATTAGAAACAAAGCATTGCCTGTGTTCAGAATCACTGAAATTAAACTTTGGTTTTTTTAAATGCAGCTTTATCCATTTCTCATTTTCATTTATTATTGTTATTGTGTATGTACATCATGTGTGAGCATAGGCATGTGTGTGTACTACAGTACAAGTGTGGAGGTCAGAGACACAAAGTGTCTTTACAGTAGCAAGTGCTTCAACTTCAAGGAGCAGAACAGTGGAGAAGGGAAGACAAGCATCAATCTTGTCTAACTGTAACTTACCATACTACTAGTTATCTCTGCCCCATCTTCATAAACACACAATTTTATAGAAAGGAAAATTTGTATTAAACAGGTCCGCTATATTGGTTACTACAATTAATGAATCAGACATGGTGCAAGTAAACAAAGCAATGGTGTCTTTCCAAAGTGCAATTTGGGAAGAAACAAGAACACAGCTGGCCACTAGCAGTGCCTAAGAAAGGCACAGACAAAAGAAAGGAAGGTACAGGATTTAAAGGCAACAAAGAATCCAGTATGTTTAAGAAACACAAAGGCCTGGGTGGACCTGAATAACAAGATAAAGGAGGTCTGAGATGAAGCTAATGCTGTGGGCATAAGAAAGACCACAAAGAACACTGGAGACTATGATAAGAAACACGAGAGTTTAAAAATCAAGTAAAAGTGATATGACCAGAAACTGTTTTTAAAAGCTCCCTCTAGGGGCTGGGGAAATGGCTCAGTGGTTAAGAATACACAGTGCTCCTGCAGACAATCCAAGTTCAAATCTAAGATCCAGAACCCATATCAAACAGCTCATAACCACTTATAACTCTAGCGTCAATGATGGAATGCCCTCTTCTGGTGGTACTCCTTCGGGACCTGCACTCCCATGTACATACCCCAACATATACAGGTAAGTAAATAAAAGCTCCCTCTAGTATTACTATACCAAGAACAGTTCACAGGGTGTGGTACAGTGGATATGGAGAGCACAGTCATGTTACCACTGAAGCAGGCTGACTGAGATGGCAGCAACAAGAGATTACTGCCAATGGAAATGAAAAGAAACCAAACAGGATCCCTAGAAGGACATACTTAAGGAGTGCTCCATTTCTGCAAAAGAAAAATCTAGCAAATATTTATTAAAGCAAAATGACAACCAAAACACTAGCCCCACATACAAGCAGCATCCATACGTGCACAACTTAGGAAGCAGGATGAATTTCACCGGTCAGTAACTGGGTAGGTCCAATCTCAACAACTCTCACCTTCAAAATTCCTCTTGGAAGAGAAGTGGATGTGGATATGAAATTCCCAGTTCTTTGCAACAAATCATCTTCATCCTCTTCACTTTCACTTTCATCTAAGTTAAATAAATAAACCCACAAGGCTAATCTTTAGAATCAAGCAGAGGGCCATTTTCTAACCCAAACTTCTCTATTTCCAAATCTAACTCCCAGCCTAGCTTTACAACTTCAACTTCTTTTTAAGCTGAAAATGGTAAATTCAAAGCACAATGAAAGAAAAAAAGATGACACAGCACTTTATATATATAGTTAAAATTAAAGCTTGACTGGGAAGAAAACACACACAGATGGTTAGTAAGATGAAAGGAGATCACGTTTAAATAAAGCCAGTGTTTCACTTAAAAAGGGCGACTCACAATTATAGCAAAATTAGCAACAGGGTAGACATACATATAGCTTAACATTACACATGAAAAGGAAAAGATCAATGCCAGTCAACTGTGTATAAGCATCTCAATGAAGAATAACAGAATGGTCAAGTGGGTAAAGGCACTTGCCATCAAGCCTAACAACCAGTTCGACACCCAAGACCCACTGGTGGAATGAGAACTGGCTGCCACCAGCCATATGAGTTTAGAGCCAGCATAAGCTACATGAGACTCTGTCGTCCCCTCCCCCCAAAAAAACAAACAAAACAAAACAAAACAAAACAAAAAACCACATGGAAATTCTAGAACTAAAAAGCATAGCAATTAATATTTAGCCTCTGAACAAATGTTTTTAACAGTGTCCCAATATTAACTGACAGATCCAAAAACATCCAGACTATAATACAGGATAAATACAAATGACCTGAGTCTTTAAATCCCAGTATTCCAGAGGCGGGAGGCAATATCTCTGTAAGCTCAAGACCAGCTTGCAACTATACAGCTCACTCAGAGATACCGACAAAATCCTGTCTGGAGCATGCATGAGTATCATGTTTCATTTCCAGATGAAACCAATATATTAGCAGTTTCCTAAATAAATGTGAAACTACATAACTGGTTTTAAATGTTAATTCTAAATTTAATAACCATGCACACAAACCAGATCTTGACAAAGCCACCTGTACTTACACTATCTAAACTCAGAAGGTCTAAAGTAGAAAATATTTAATAACACAAGCTAATCTTAAAACTTGCAGTTTTTTATGTTATCATCTGGGCTTGGTCTGACATCTGCTCCACTGACAGGCATCCCATTTCTGTTGAACAGCTAGATTAGTTACAGGTGTCTTCAGAAGGGGCTCTGAACCAAGTATTACTCATTTTCCTTAATCCTATGTCATAAAATACAGTCCTGCAAAGACAGAAACAATCCATTCACCCTCTATCTCCTTCACAGGAGGTAAGACACCAAGGCTGAATATCCCGGTCCGAAAAGCTTAGATCAGAGATGCTCTGGAGCAGATTCAGAGTACCTGCACGTGCATGATAAGGTGACTCAGGAATGATCCAATGCTAAACATGAACCTCATTTGTTTTATACCTTTTATATGTTGCCTGAAGATGACTTTAATAATACTTCTGATAATTGTGAGCGTGAAACAGTTTCATAGTGTAGAATTTCTCATTCCTGGCTTCAAAAAGTCAGTGCTCCAGAAGTTTCAGACTTGAAAGCTCCAAAAGTTTCAGATTCTAAAACATTTCAAGTATCAGACTAGGGACACTCAACCTGATTAAATAAGCCTATGCTTATCAAAAACAGTCTTCCCTCAGAGAATATCAGACTGGAAAGTCAACAAAAATAGGGGGAAGTTTAATTAAAACACTACATTTTAAAAAGTCTGGGGGAATGCCAATAAAAACAAAGCAAAGAAAGAGACGTACTAGCTTAGAGACATCAACACTCACCATCTGAAGATTTTCTTCGTTTGTGCCCAGGTTCTGCCCAATCAGGTACTCCTCCCATGGCATGCTGGAATCTGAGAGAAAAAAACAAAAATGTTGTGACAACTCTGCTCAGTGTTCAGACTCTACATAGATCTTAGCACCCTTTAGAGTACATAGAGAATCTGTTCCAAAATTAGTATCTTTATTCACACAGAATGGTCCCAAGCTCTCAGTACTGGAAACCCAGAAACCTCTGAACCTCTGCCCACCAAAATCAACACTGGATACGGTATACCTCAAAGTATATGACTATCCTGTTTGCTTGTATCAGTTCATCCTAAATTTTTGGAACTATGTAGTTTATTTTTGGTTATAAACCAATGCCAGAATATAGAGATACATGAAGAACATGTCTGAAAGGAATATGTCTAAAAATAACTAGAATATCCAAAATTTCATCAGTCTCATTCAGGCCCAATGACACAGGCCTGTAATCATAAATGCATAGGAGGCTAGAAGAGGATATTAAGTTTGAAGCCTGCCAGCACAACAGAAGGAATTCAAGGGGCTGGCTGTCTTGGTCAATGCAGGAAGATCCTAATCAAAATAAAGGGGAAGGAGGGCAGAAATACAGCAGTATAGTGCTTACCTAGCAAGCCCTCAAGTTTCAATCCCCATGACTTCCATAAAACACTAGTAGAGAACCTAGACAACAAAGAGGACCCTAAAAGAGACATACATGGATCTAATCTACAAGGGAAATCGCAAAAGACAAGATCTCCTGAGTAAACAGGGCGTATGGGGATCATGAGTTAGGGTAGAAGGGGAGGGGAGAGAATAGCAGAGAAAACTATATAACTCAATAAAAGTAATATAAGTAAGGAAATAAATAAATACATAAATGGATAATTAAATGCTAAGTAGGCCGGGCATGGTGGCACACATTAATCCTAGTACTTGGGAGGCTGAAGAGCCAGCCTAGTCTACATAACGAGCTCCAGGATAGACAGGACCACACAGAAAAACCCTGTCTCACAAAGACAAAATTTAAAATGAATAAAAAGCACTATATTTAAAATTTTACTATTAAAGTTCTAATACGCACAGGGCCCTGAGCTCAATTCTCTAGCACCACACAAAACCAGGTGTAGTGCTACACACCTGCAATCCCATCACTTGGAAAACAGAGGTAGAAGGATTAAAGTTCAAGATCATCTTCAGCTATATAGTGAGTCTGAGACCAGTCTGGGCTGTGCGATCATTTGGGCTGGCTATCAGAAGTAATAGTACTCACCACCAAGCCTAACGACCTAAATGCAATCCCTGGAACCCATACGGAGGAAAGAGGGAACTGACTCAGAAAGCTATCTGCTGACCTCTCACACACAGTAAGAATTATTTTTTAGGGCTGGAGAGATGGCTCAGTGGTCAAGAGCACTGCCTGCTTTTCCAAAGGTTCTGAGTTCAATTCCCAGCAACTACATGGTGGCTGACAACCATCTGTAATGAGATCTGGGGCCCTCTTCCGGCCTGCAGGCATACACACAGACAGAATACTGAGACTACTGCAGGAATAATAAATAAATAAATCTTTAAAAAAAAAAGAATTATTTTTTAAATAAAAAAATTAGTGAAACTAGTATCATGTTTAAAAAAAAGGAATAATAAGTATACTGGTTTAGATTATTAGTCAAGAGAATTTAATATTGACTGGCCAGCTACTAGGTTCTTAGCCATGACACTAAATACGCAGGAAAATCATCTATGATGATTGATCACACTGAGGAATCCAGGTGTTAAGTGTAGAATTATCCATATCTAACTCTCAGACAGATCCTGAAAATACAAATACTCAAATAAATAAAGCTAAATACGGTAAAAGGTGCTTCTGTTGGTTTTTTCAATTGAACCCAATGATAACAGATACTTATATTTTTGCAATTTTTCATATTCCAGAGAAAGGCAAGCATAGTAGTGCTTACCAGTAATTCCAGGACAGTAGGCAAGGGCAGGAGAAGCTAATCTTGAGGTTAGACAAGGTTACACAATGAGAGCCCTATCTTGGGGAAAAGGGTTTTGATAGAGTTGACTTACATACAAATGAATGATCCAGTAATACTGACTATATTTAAGTGGTAGCATTTCAAGATACTGGGGTTTTTCCCAATTCAAATTATCTTTGTTGTATTCCCTGCCATAAATACTTACACGAAGTCACCAAGCAAGCAATGCCTACTTTTTCATGGTATAGATGTGACTATCCAAAAAGCTGTTCTAAAGAGAAACAAATGTCTGACAATACACCTCTTGATTTATCACAGGAAAAGGGATACTTACTCCTCTTTGAGTCTCTTTTGAAGCTTATCTTTTGAGAGCTTACTTTCGCTGGCATTTTTCATTATATCTTTCCGAAACCGATTGTTCACCATGTCAACTCTATGAAGCACAGAACAAGCATATTGTTAATGATTTGCAAAGAACCATTAATAAAATGATTCTGCCTTTAGTATTCTGAAGAAACATTTACTAAACTGTGAAGTTAAAGACTGCAAGACGTGGTTTGTTTCAAATACCTCCATTTGGTGTGTTGTCCATTCTTCCTCCTGAGTTTCTCAAATGCTCTGGAGAGCTAATATTTAAGTAAACTCATCCTGAATTATCTAGACACACTTCAGATCACTCTCCAAAATATCCCAGGCAAGTCAAATACACTAAGAGCAAACCATCAAATATTGCCTGTACTTTATAGGCAAACAACAGTCTTTCTAATAAAGGACATTTTACTGTTAAAAAACAAAAAAAGACTCAAAGATCTGACTATCTGAAACTTGAAAATCTCTGTATATGCTTAGCATGCACAGACCCTGGGTTCAACCTCTACCAAATAAAAATTTGAAATTCTTAGTTTGTAAGAAATTTGAGACACTAAGATCTCTAAAAAACAAAAATAATAAAGAACATATATAATACACACAACTATATCAATTTCCCTCAACACAATTTCAGTACGGTTATTTTCCTATCATCAAACTAAGAAAGTGTGCAAAACAACACTCACTTGATCATTAAAATAAAACAAACAAAAAGACTCTGAAATCCACACTTTACATGAGGAAGGTGATCCTTTATGCAGTCTGGCAGTATTTACCGATAACCTGAAAATGCAACGTAGTCTCTGCTCAAAGAGTACTACCCTCAAAAAAATCTTTAAGAAATTAATTAGAAACACAAAAGTTTTTTCATGAAGATGTTTATTTCAGCATTCTTACAGTGAAAAATAGAAAATTCATTTATTTGATTCATACACAGGCACTTAAAGCTGTTCATAAAGGTCTTTTTCAAAAGTGTGGTGCATTGCTTCAAATAGCACTTTAGATAGTAAAAAGTAAAACTACTAAACTGAGTAGGCAGTAGGCGCTCATAGAACAGTGTGCTAGCTTTATGTGAAGTCTTCACTGAGTTTCAGGCACCAAGCTAAAAATTCTATATGCATAATTTAATCCAAATGGCCTTCTGTTTCAGTCACTATTCTGACACCCATTTTACAAATGGAGCAGTAGATAACAAACTTGTCTGCGGTAGTCTGGAACCATCCCATTCCATTACCAAGGCAAGCTAAGCTCTAACTCCACTGACTATCTAGCACACAGAGGTAGGAAGAGACTATCAAAGTAAAAGCGCCTTTCTCTCAGATGCAGAATTACCAACCACTTTTTTCCTGTGCTTCCATATGTTCTTTCATTCTTCATATAATCATACTTTTCAGGACAGAGCTTTGAAAAATCTACAAGTTAATTCTTAAAGTGTCCAGAAAGAAATGGGTAACTTACATTTCCTCATCTTCATCATCTTCGTCCACCCAAACTGGTTTCTTCTGAGGAGGAAGAATATCTTTTGCTTCATCTTCCACTTCAGAGTCATCCGAGCTTCGTTGCAGTTGACCCTACAGAGACACACCATCTTCAAGTCACTGCGATTTTCCTACGTGGTGGTGGCAGACACCCCACCTTAGACTTAAGATGGCTTGTAGAATGTCTGCTCTCCTGGTCTGCTGATGAAATAATGCGATGGAATAGGACCATAGCACACGCTGAAGAAGGCAGGAAGGGAGATCACAACCACCAGGGGGTCAAGAGAGACAGGATGGAACCGCCATGGAGAGACAAGCACACTGGAAGGAAAAGACCACAATAGACCAGGGAAAAAGGTAAGTGGACAGGGAAAGAATAAACATCTCAACTTCAACTGTTGCAGAACCCAGGGCCATCTGGAATCCATCTCTCCCATCCTAAGGAGGATCTCTTGTTCTGTGTGCTGGGTCTCAACCTCCTCAGAACTTTATACCACACTAAACCCTAATCTAACCCCCCCAACCTCCCCCCCCCAAAAAAAATCCCCTGGAAATGAGCTGAGCTCATTCCAGTGTCCAAGAAGTCAACTACAGTATCCACCTGCACTAAAATCCACCAAGGACTCCTTTCTGATACAGGCCTGTCACACAACTCAGAAAGTAACTATTCTCCATCCTCCCAAAGGAGCCTGCTACATCCTCCCATTGAAGCTCCCACACAAAAGGTCAGCTTAATTCAACAAATGCTGAAATTGAGGCATGTTGCCACCCTATCTAAAAGACGCCTCTACATAAATTTAATTCCCTTTCCCAAATATTTTAGTTTTCCTCTCCACTAACATACTTTAACTAGTGGGCTCCTTCATCTTGTTTTTCTACCACTAACACAAGCTCTAAGAGAGCAGGGGTTTTAGTTGGATTTCTCCATTGCTGTATCTCCTCCCTCCAGTGCCTAATACCTTAGACGAAGAGTCAGGTATAGAACATTAATGATGACAGTGCAAAATTTATCAATCACGAAGGATTTGTAATTGCTACGAAGAGTAAGCATCCAAAAAAAATAATAATAAGACACGAATACACCGATCATTCCCAAAAGTTGGGCGGTTTGCATCACACAGAGAAATTATTAAAACGCAGCTTTACGCCTTCTGCCCACGTATTGGTTCCATCCACGAAATGGAATCGCGACAGGTGATTCAACGGGCACCCGTGCGGTTCCAGCAGACGGTGTGAGAACGCGAAGCTCCCGACTCCGGCGTGCAGGCGGCCTTCCCGCAGACCAAGCCAGCGGTTCAGTGCAGGCTGGCTGCGGAGCGCCGCGGCCCCTTTGGGGCGGAGAAAGGAGGCGTCTCCGCCCTCGCCAGCCCGCGGCCC